CACACACACACACACACACACACACACACACACACACACACACACACTCCTCTAGTGGCTTTCTATTACTTCAGCCTCAAATATAAAATTCTTTCTTTTTTTTAAGCTTTTAAAAATCTGACCCCTTCCTACCTTTCTATACTTCTTACACCCTCCTCCATTCACTCTAAAATACAGGCCAACCTAAGGCCTCCTTGTTACATGCACACAATAACCTATTTTCAATCTATTCCCTGCACCTGGAATGTTCTCTCTCTCTCTCTCTCTCTCTCTCTCTCTCTCTCTCTCTCTCTCTCAACCTCCAACTCTTACAATGCCTGACTTCCTTTTAGATTGAGTTCTTAAATTCGACTTCTTCCAAAATGCTCATCCTTGTCCCCCTAGCTGTTAATGCCATCCCCTCTAAAGTTAATTTCTCTCTACTTTGGATTTATCTTAAATGTTCTGATTTGTAGATGGTAACTTCTCCTATTAGAGCATAAGCTTCTGGAAAACAGACTTTTTTTTTCTTTGTATCCTCAGTGCTTAGGACTGTACCTGGCACATAGGAAGAGCTTAAAAAAAGTCTTACTGATTGATAGTCCAAATCTTTCCTTTTACAGATAAGGAAATAAACATATAGAAGTCAAGTGATTAACTCTGTAAGTGACAGAGATGGGTCATTTCAATCCATATGTAGCATTTTGTCCACTATAGTATTCTGCTTTATATGAACATATTCTACTTTTAAACCCTAATATATTGTGAAGATAGTTGAGATTGATAGATATTTGGCTCCATTTTTGACTGCACATTTATATAGAAATAACACAATAAAGAGATAGACTGCCCATTATTATCAAAGTGACTACAGGTAGTTACAACCTCTGAGCTTCAGATAATATTACTTTCATTATCTGCCTAGGCCATTGTGAGGAAAAAGCTACACGGATATGCAAACTATTGCCATAGAAAGGAAAATTCTGAAGAGAAATTAAGTAGTTCTCCTCTCACCAGAAATTTGCATTGTATATGCATTGTCTCCCTTCACTTTCCAATTACCTGATCTACTTACATAGAGTAAATTACTATAACTTAATTAAGGATTAAATTAGTTTTAATCAGCAAATGTGAGATGCCTTTCTAGCTCCAAGAGAATATAAAACAGTTATGGATCCCCAAAAAAGCAATCAATGAAAGGGGATCATAACACAGTCAGACAGAAAAACAGAAAAGAAAAGAATTAGTTCAATAAAAGTTAGCAAGAATGGAATTCTACTTCATGAGAGGCAGTGTCATATTGGATAGCACACTATATTTGACATTAAGAGAGACCTGGGTTCAAATCCCCCTTCTGTTCCAGAATTATGTGGCTAGGTATAGTCCCCTTAACCTTGAAAGAGCATCAATTTCTTCACATATAACACTGGAATTACAACACCTTTATTAGCCCATCTCACAGAGCCGTCATGGGGCTCAAACAAGATCATAAAAAGGGATAAAATAAGGGCAAAGCACTTTGTGAATCTTAAAGCACTATGCCAAAGACATGTTCACTGTGTAAAGATAATCTAGAAAAGTTTGTGTTCTTTAAATTATAACAATCACTCTGAAGACAGAAACTGTTCTTAGTTTAAGTCAAACTAATGAACCCTTAAATTCTTCAGAAATCAAAAGAGACTCACTGTTTTCCTTTAGCACAAATGAAACAAACTCTGGTTTGCAGCTGTTTTCCATTGGTTTATAATTTTGCTTAATTTCCTCCCATCATTCTTTTCCATCTGACTCTAGCTTCTCTCACTTTTCACATTCTTTGCCTCTGAGATCCATTGTATAAATGTATTCAATACTTGGTAGTTTGCTTTCCAAGATAAGCAAAAGAACTGTATAAATGCAACTACCAACCACTATTTTTAGAAATTCAGACCTAAATAATTGGAAAAACATTCATTGTTCATGAGTAGGATGAAGCAATATAATAAAAATGCCAATACCACCTGAATTAATTTACTTCTTCAATGTCATAGCAATCTAACTACCAAAGGATTACTTCATGTAACTAGAAAATAATGATAATGAAATTTTATATGGAGGGAAAAAAAGGACAAGCATTTCAAGAGAAAAAAATGAGAAAAAATGGAAATGAAGGGGACCTTAGCAATGCCAGATCCCAAACTACACAATCGAGCAGTAATTATTATGACAATTTACTACTGGTTAAAAAGTAGAGCTATCAAACAGTGGAACAAATTAGGTAAGTAATAGAACCCCGGTATTCAATAAACACAATGACCCAAGCTACTTTGGTAAAGACTCACTATTTGACTAAAAAAAAGTGTCTAATAACTGGATAGCAACATGGAAGAAATTAGATTTAGACTAATACCTCATATCTTGAACAAATATAAACTCCAAATTAGTATGTGGACTAGAAATAAAAGTTCATATCAGAAACAAATGAGAGAAACATGTAAAAAAAATAAACTATCTGATTTATGTATAGGAAAGTTCACGATCAATCAAGGAATAGCTCTCACAGAAGAATAAAAGTAAATTTATTAAAGAAGATGGGGTTGATAATTTTATTAATGGATTTAAGAAGATTTTCCTCAAATAAATCCAATAAGCTAAGATTAAAAGGGAAATAAATAACCTGGAAAAATCTTTCCAGCAAGTGTCTCTGATAAAGATCTCATTTTCAAGATATATAAACAACTGATTCAAAATCATAAGCACAAAAGCCATCCCAAATTAATAAATTGTCTATGGACATGAAGAGTCAGTTCCAAAGGTAATTAGGCTATCTATAGCCATATGAAAAAAAATGACTTCAAAGAACAACTGTAGGGTGAAGTAAGCAGAATCACATGAACAATTTATACTATGACACCAATATTATAAGAATGAACAATTTTGAGAACTTTTGTAAATTGACAAAGACTGAAATGAGGAAAACTAGAATGATTCATACAATAATATAAAAACAAACAATTTTGTCAGTTATAAGATCTATAATCAATACAACAACAGTTTATGATTCCAGAGGATTGATGGTGAAATCTGCTATCCTTTAGAAGAAGGCAGTAGATTTGTGGAGCAGAATAAGACATGTATACACCCACTGAAGCAATTTGTTTTGCTTGACTATGTATACTTATTATAATAAAATTTGTTTTTCTTTTCTTGCTTTATTTTTTTTAAAGGACATGTAGGAAAAGATGTAATTCCACACCTAAAAAGGAGCTGAAGTAAAAGATGGTGTGCACATGAAAATAAAGAGTGGAGAGAAGCATTAAGATTAGCCATTGAAGTATTTTTGTGGAGGGTTTTAAGTGAAGGCTAAGAAGTTTGTACTTCTATGTGTACCTTCCCTACTTCATATACTACTACCATCCTCAAATGATTACATTGTATCCTGCTTAAGTATACAATTGGTGAAACCTATTTCTTTGTACTGCTGGAACCTAACACATAGCTTTGTACATAGCAAGAACTTAAATCTTTGTTGAAGCGAATTGCATGAAAAGCAAATTCAGTAGGAAAAAAAGTAGTAAACTAGACTTTTTTTTATTCATAGGGTAACTATAAAAAAAATCTATGTGACATTGCTTTTAAAATTAGTATAATGACAGGAATTAAATTGTACTTGGATTCCTAAAGAATATATACAAAAACACACATTTACAAAGGGTAAAGAAACATGAGTATGCACAAATAATTTGCATGAAGTAGTATAAAATGTATAACAGAAAACATGATGACCAGAAATGGAGATGAGCCAATTATTTAAAAAGGATAAGAGACAACAAACAGCTACAAAATGTGAAGTTGAAAATTTGTCCCCTACTTTGTTCTGTAATATTTATTAATTTTTGTTTGAGATTCATATCTAACCACTAGAATCAGTAGTTATGGATTAGAGTTAGATTGAATTGTATAGCCCTCAGTATTAGAGCTTATAAGAGTTTAACTTCCCCATTTCTCTGAGCTACAGACTGGATTCAATCTATCTCACCTGCGAAGACAAGGGAGGATGAATCAACATGGTCATGAGATATTCTGCCTGGTCATAAGCCTAGCACCCAACCACTCTGGTGCAGAGGTTACCTAACACAGGTGTTTCTAGAAAATATTGATCAACTCTATTTCCCTCTTACCATGGACTTTGGAAACCCCCTTTTGCAAGCAAGTCAGCATGATCATGCCAAATAAGCCCAAACTATACCATTACCAACTGTATAAAAGACTGCTCTGTCTTCTCTAATGCATCCCTGGCCATTGAGGGGCTTGAGATTTCACTTCGTTGGCAATTGCTAGCTTTGCAATACATTGATTATGCTTTGAACTATGTGCCTCAGACTCATTTGTTACAATTTGTATACTTACACTCCATTCCCACCTCCAAGAAACTTAGTGTCATAGGAAGAGAACCAGTGCATTGTTTACATTTTGGTGGAGGGTTTATTAAAACACAGACAATAATCATTAAGGATGAAAATTCATGTAATGGTTGAATGTCATTCATTTTGGTAGAGTAGTTACTTCCAAAATATCAGTTTAAGTTCA